CATCCACCCTGACCCAGAGCACAGGACAGAACCACAGATTTCTGCCCAGACAGGACTAGGACAGACCCGGATGTGTTATCACAACCAGTATGCACACTTGGGACTGGAGTTACTGCAACATACGGGGGTCTGGAGACAGGTATGCATACTGACCTACGTCAGTGGGACAGCGAACACCAAGAGGTTTGCTAAGCTCTCCACAGGCTGGAAAGCTTAGCAAATCTCCACATTATGACTGGAAGTCCCTGCAAGGAGACATCTTCATACATAGATGCTTATGCATGATTTGAGAACCACCAGCTGAGATCCATGGCCTTTGCTGTACGAAGGGTCAGATTTGGTCACAAGCCCTTCTAGCTTTCAAACCTGAGAAACTGTGAATTGTGTTTAAGGAGTGCCTCTGGCAACCTCTACACATCTACAGCACAACTCATGGCAAAGTAAGAATGATAACGAATTTTTGGGGGTGAGGTATGAACTTTGTTCTCTGTTTATTGCTCACATAAATAAATCAGGTATTAGAACCAAGTAGTCATAGCATAGCAATGAATAGTAAAGCATGCAGGAGGTTTCTGTGGTGCTACAATTTAAATACGGAAATGTATTATTGAGTATCAGGCACTTATTTTTGATAACGATGGAAATGGGCTTTAAAAGAATTTTCACAGTCTGAAAAATCTGAAAGAAGCCAGCTCAGATTAGAGCTCAGACTAGTAGACTTTTAAACTCCTTGCAGCAAGTGAAAACCACTTCCTTCAAACCCCGCCCCCAATCATTTAAATAATATAAGCAGCAAAAATGAAGCAAACCCTAAATTATCCTCAGTTACAAGGTTCCAGTTTTGTACTTTAATTCACATAAAGCAAAATACCTACCTAGGTCTGCATAGTTAGACTTGCAAAATTGCTTGCGTCCACAGAAGTACAGCTCAAAGTCAGGTTCATTTGACCTGCGTAAAGTGTATCCATTTTCAAGAGCAGCAAAGGCATCACAAGTATAGCGGTAGGTGATGAAACCATAGCTGTCTCTGCAATTGAAAAATACAGTTGTAAAAAAAAGCTGAAAAGAGTTAATGCACATTAGTGTAACCCCTTCCTGAAAGCAAAAACTTGCAGGAGATCCAGCAGTGGAAATGCCAGAAGTACTGCATCCATTTATCAGCATGATTGTCCTGTCATGCAGCTAAATACTTATTTCTGGGACAGGAAATCTCAACTAGCAAGATTAATAAATAAGGATGAAAGAAAATAAATAAGGTTTTGAACTCAGCATGTCATCTGTCACAGCACTTACATTGGTAACTCCCATACCAGTAATCTTACTGCCATAATTTTTTACATATGGCAGTGCCCAAACAAGAAGTAATCTCAAAAGTTCTTACCCATCATCCCGCAAATTTACTGTGCACTCCTCAATTTCACCAAAAACTTCAAACCGGTCCCTCAATTCTGTTCGGGTTGTGTCAGGTCTGATTTTACCTAGATAAATCACACGACGTTCTTCCTGTTGAGGAACAGCAACAGGGAAGGCATATTTCTAATAAATGTGTAATAGAGATGAACCCATACATATATGCATGCAAACACACACTCATGGACACGCAGAGGATGCATAATTATGGTAATAGTCTTTTGTGGAAGACCTACTGCATCTTGCTAGTAAGTGAAATAGTTCTCTCTTGGAAAGCATCTAAGGTATTTAAATGACACTACATTTGCCAGGTGGTGTGCTCCTGGAAGGTTTCACTCCTGCTCTCACTGTTCTGCCCTATGCGGACAGGCAGCTCCCTTTGCATCCTACCACACCTTCTCCCTTCCACCCTTTCTACCACTTCCCCTCCAAGATTGTAAACTCTTCCAAACCAGGAGCTCCCTTGCCATCTGTACGACACTTGGCAAAACCCATCTTAGTTGTGGAGTAGTATAAAGTAACACAACAATTGCATAAATGTACCACAGACATAACAAAATGCATTACAAACGTAACTTTATAAACTCAGATGACTCAATAGCTGATTCATCCTGCAATCAGCTGTTCCACCATAATCCGTACCTTAAAATAGAAGGAAAACTGTTAGGGGACCAGATGATGACTTTTATTACTAGGGGGAAGGCAGGACAATAAAATATATCCTGTGGTCACCATTACCTTTTGGTTTCTTTGGAAAAAAAACCTGACTGAAGTCCCTGATTTTTACAAGCTACTCTGTCATTTGCATGTTCCTTTGACACTTGGAGCAAAGCATCAAAGTTACTTTTAAAACAATCGAGTCATGGTCATATCCTTCCTTCTTGAGTGGAAATGCTCAGCAAAATTAAAGAAGGACTAGGAACCCCTGTGAGAGTCACTTTATGAATTTCTGGATGAATATTTTACTGAGGGTTGAGCCCTTTAGTGAGCTGCAAGCAAAGCAAAAGGCAAAAAGAGATCTCCAAAACACTGACTTTAAGGTAATCAGGGCAAAGAAGCACCAGTCACACATGGCTTGGGTGCTCAGCCCTCCTGTCTCAGATTGCCTCTGGTCGGAGGAGCCCTGGCACTACTGGCCCTGCTGCTCATCCCTTACACACCCGCACATTTGTCCCATAAATTGCACCACCGCCACCACATTCTCAGCTGGTGTAAATCTGTCAGTCAGTGGAGCAACGTCAGTTTAAACCATCAGCTTTGGCACCTGAGACTTGTGCAGAATTTAGGTGCCGAATGCCAAAGGAGCTATACTGACTGCTGAGAATTCATGACTATTGTAACCTGGAGGTGCCTAAAGGCTAATGGCACCTCAACTGTGCGATGCAAAAGGCTCTAGGGACCTAAATATAGACTTGCATTGCTGCTCAGAAACATCCTAGCCTGAAGAGACAGGTAGCTTATAGTGTTACAATTCAGATATAGCATGACATGTATCTTTTCCATGAGTCCCCACAGAGGCATAAGGCACTAGTCATTTTTGGACCACGGACAATAGGATTGAGATCAGACCAAAACACATGTAGAAACAGAAATGATCCTGATGCCTCTTCTTTACTTGTTTGAACACTCATTTGAGGTAAAGGGACCGTCACAACTCTTAGTTATGGGGGCCCAAAATTTTGGCTCCCTCTTCCCAGGAAAGCACTCTGCTCCCAGGAACTGTTTAATGCAAACTAAATAAACAATTCCTGCAGCAGGAAGCTGAAAATAATGTATCTGCCAGAAACAGGAACTCTTCTCACTAGCACACTCTGTCAACTATTTTCGCTCTTTTCCTGGCCTCACAAATCTCAGGGGCTCAGATCCAGTTAAACTATGCTCCTGAGAAATGAAAGTGAATTTAAAGCTCCAGAAAACAGAGATCCAAGAATCAAACACTCCAACCCAAAAGCCCTACCCCCTAAGGTCTGGCACAAGAAGTGACCACTGGAACCACCTGCGTCCTTTGTAGCTCCCCGGGCAGCCCAGCGGAGACCCTGGTTGCTCTGCTAAGGCATGTATATGCTCTTAATCAATGGGATCAGGTAAGTATCTCATTTTGATGCTTGAAATTACTGCCTCTTTTGATTATATAAGGAACCATGGTGACTGCCTTCCTAGTCCTCTATAATCCTGCTGGAATAGACACCTTCATTTTTAAATGTTATGCCTTCCAAAGCGCATGGTCCAAAAGCTGCCCTTGTTCTCTGCCATAGCAGTGCAGTATGGAGAAGCTAGCATGGCTAAAAGAAGGACAAGTGTGCTCATGGGTGGCCGTAAGTTTAGGGAAGAGGGGCATTTTACAGAGAGCTGCTGCTTTTTATCTCTGCCTCTACTGTGCCCCAGCCCAGAGTCCTGACCCTCCTGACAGAGGAGTTTGGGTAGGGCTTCTGTGAACTAGGGACTGTAGAGTACAAGCAACAGAAATCTGCATTTCTTCCATTTTGCCCGTTCTAATTCTGCTTACGTTCAGTATGGTTGGATGCCATAAACTTCAAAAACAGGAAAATCTGCATATGCACAGTAATTACTTTTTCAGACTGTTTTACCAAATCAAGGATTTAACCGCACTGAAACACTTGATAAGAAACAATTCCATTGATACTTGCTATTGAACCTAAATGACTGACCAGATGGAGCAGAACATAACATAGCAGACTGTCTAATATACTTTAGCTGAGATAATACATCTCGACTGAAAAAACATAATGTTTCACTCACTGACATGGAGATTGTTATATTACAGTGTGATGGAAATAACTACTGC